GGGAACGTGGAGTAGACGATGAAGAGGAAGATGATGACGAGGATGATGATGAAGAGGAGGATGAGGAAGACGAGGACGACGACGATGGCGAGGGCGATGTTGCAAATGTCGAAGAGGATGCGGAAGATTTGGCCAACTGTGAGATGGAGGATAATGACCTTGATGAGGATGAAGATGAAGAGGAGGAGGAAGAAGAGGGTGCGGACGAGGATGATGACGACGAAGATGAGGACGATGACGCTGATGACTTCGACCCCAACAGACTTTCTATGCATGAAGCTAGCAACGATGAAGATATCAGCAGGGTGCTTAAAGTAGTCAGTTGTTTTCTTGCTCTATATCTAAGATCGAACCCATTGTTTGCTTGTAAAATTGGCAAACGACTCCTAAGACCACTCACTCAAAAAGCTAGCATACGGGTTGGGTGTCTAGTCTACGCGCTGTATCTTCATAGATCCTGCAAGCTGTGTGGTATTCGAATACTGCCGAAACTCAATCCTCTCCTAGCCGCGTAGGGCCAAAAATACTCCTTCATTGTCACCTGACACGTTACGATTCTACAGGAACACTGATATGCTACTGAATCTGGCATAGGTCTTTAGCGGACTTCCTGTTACGTGTATGTACGCGTGCACAGAGTTTGCACCTTGCTTCCCTCATCCGGTTTTTAGTTCGAAATGGATAGAAAAGACGTACAGTGTAGTCTAATTGGCAACACTCAGTAGACGTAAAACTCTTCTACCGCGTCCGATTTTACCTCCAGTTTACTAAACTCTTATTGCCGTGTAAGCCATAATAATCACCCATCTACCGTCGATAGTAGTACTATCATAGTTACTTTGTCAAATAGGGCATCTTGTTAGTGGTATAGCGTTACGCTTGGCGACAGAGCCCTGATCAGTAACATGCACAAAGGCGGTCTAGATAAATGTATTCGTTTGCTCACTAAAGTTTATCATTTTTTTCTCGAACCTCTTCAACCGTCTATTCCTCTCAGATACAGAGAAGACTGAATACCTCATCATCGATTTCAGGTGCTATACAGATGGCAAAGTGTTCACCTTGCAGGATGTGGCAGTTTGTCCGCCTGAATCGAAAAGGACCGTCACGGTCTCTGTGGACAGTGAAACCCGCTCGGCATATAACTTGCACTATCTTCTCACAGCGCCATGTTCTAATGGTTGGGTGGGGGATAGTCGAAGATTGGTCACAGTAGCCGTGCCAGGAAGCCTATATCTTTTCGCCTCCCTGATATTGCTATCATGGATAAGGAAGAAGATGAGGGTAATTATAGTGGAGACACTATAATTACCCTCGTTTTGTTGCTACTTCTCACCTCTGAAGATGGACTCCTGCAAGAGTTCGAAAGCTAAGGACAATAAATCTATTGATCCGGTGCTCGACCAGTCTTCTTCTCCATGCAGATACCTGGAACGCGAACCTTTTCATTTATTCGGGATATTGATATCTCTCGCGTCTTCTACCTATACAGTAAATTCCCTATCTCATTAAGTGTCAACCGACACTCTAAAATGTTTCGATTCGAGCAAATGACTTCAGTAGGGTTGTAATATCAGGAGGCCAGCTTATGAACGAGCTTCTTTCTGATCGTCTGCAACCCTAATACCATGCAAAAGTTCCTATCTAAGTAGCATGCATTTCATTATCCATTTTCGATGCCCCTATAAATTCAACTGCATGTAAAAATACATGCACACAATTATTCTTTCTTGTACTGGCCGGGTAGCAAATGACGCCTGCTTCAAATTTCTTCCTTGAAAAAGGAATATCTTTCGGTTTTATGAGAACAATTTTACTTTTTTCTCATGGCAAAGTTGAGGGATATGGGCTGATAGTCTGAAAAATAAGAAGGGCTCACGAGAACAGGCGCTGACGTTTTGTAGAGCTTAGTCGGCTTGCTGTTGCCAAATCGTTGAATGCACTTTATCGAGGGGGAATTGAGGTGACCTGCTTGCCGGTGTCGGACTAATCGATTGTTTTCCCGCTCACTTCCTCGGCTCTATGGCGCATGTTTGGTGGACAACCATTTTAGCTACGTGCCTTTTGAGTCACCACCTCAATGGGGAGAGGGGGCGACTGGTTGAAACTTTGTCGGTACTGTTCGCTCTGGTGTCTCTTTGTCTGCCTCGAGTCAGTTCTTCATTTGGGCTGTCTGCGCGCCTTTCGGAAGTTCTGCGTGACTGTCTTGTCTTGAGCTTCGTGTATGTAATGACGTACGACCGGGTGGGAGTTGCAGACTTATCCACAGGAGCACAAATTGGCAACTCGGAGGCTAGACCAACACTCTCAGCTTGCAACGCATCTTGAAGAAAGTAGCTACCATATGAGGCTAGGGCACATCATATACGGAACGGCAAACACTTGAGATGTGGTATCAGATTGGTAACTTCATAAACAGACTTATTGACCTTCCTGCAGCTTATAGGGTCTTACGTTTTGGACTGTAGCATTTTCTTTCTTTTATCCTTAGAAGGTTTTATGTTTCCGAAACTTTCCATTGTATGTTTCAATTTCAGTTACTTAGTCCTCCGGTGGATAATCTGGGGAGTCTCAAGATTATTAACAGTCCTGAAGAAGATCGTACGGGCGACGCCATCTTCCCCGACGGTCTCGTTCTGCCTCGGACAGAACCGCCATTCCCGCCCACTTACTCTACCTCTCCAAAACTGAAGGATGTCTGCACGCCTGCCACTGACGAGGACGTGTCTGCCGAACTTCAACAATTTGTCACTGTGGCAAAGAAGCCTACCAAACCGCCATCCGGCGTTGTCGTTGGCGATCGAACGCCCAAGTTCCAGGTGACTTACCG